TAGTCTAAGAGAAGCTAGAGTGGTGGGTCAGTTTGATAAAAAGTTTATCCTGCTGATTGCTAATGCTAAAAGTAGACATTATCAACTGTTTGAAGAACCATTCTCTAAACCACATGGATACAGATATAAACATTCCTACATTATTGCAGTTGATCAACATGCTGCACATGAGAGAATACTTGTTGAATTTTTTGAGAAGGAGTGCTTGAATCATTTTGAAATGTCTTCAAATAGAGCAACACGTGAACTCCAACTTTTGAAAATATTTTCCAGGAAAATATCTTTAAAACTATCAAGGCGATTGGTTCCCGATATCTTTAATTTAGTGAACCAAGAACAAGTTAAGTTATATTGGCTATTAAAATATGGGTTCTCAGCTATTCTTGATTGTAACTCCATGGAGCAATCTATTATCGTTACTATGATCCCTCGAGTAATTCCTCAAAGTCATTCGTCAGAAAAACTCCTTAGGAAAATCATCGCGAGTTGTATTCGGGTTATACTGTTAAATCAGGAGGAATCAAACGTCAGTATTATACACCAGATCATGTATGTCGCCGAAAGTCATATGTATTTTTACTTTATATATTAAAAGTCCTTAATTGTATTATAATTCAGTCGGTTGATGTGTTAAACTTTGCAATATCCTCGTAAATATCCAATATTCATTTTCAAAACGGTTGTTGGTATTCAGCAATCGGCCCCTCTGTGATAAAATGAGAGTCCTAATATAGATTCATTCAGTCATAATTTCGTGAACTTCCGACAATGTTCTCATATACCAACGGCTGTCATCAGAGTATAAGAAAACTTATTGTCACCAAACTCATTATTAAGGGTACCGAATAATAACACAAGGCGACTCTGTACTTCAAAATTAAGTTAAGAAAAATTCCTAAGCGTTTCAGTAACACTTTCTACAAAATATTTGTTGTTACGGTTATCAAACTAGTATCTTTTATTTATCGAAATCCAAGACTTTCATTCTGATGGAGCTTGAGCAAACTTACATGTGATATTTTAGGCAGACTTGGTGAAATTATTAAACATATTTTAGACAAGTTTTTACAATGGTTCCCAAGTAGAATTTTAACACGTGAAACCCTTTAACAGCTGCTGAATATCAATGTTCTGTTGTTTGCAATCTACGGTCTGGAATTACTCCCTAATTTGTTTTTTTCAGGACTTGTGGTGCTGATGTTTATTGCTACTATATCAAAGACTATTGCTGCGACTGACTTGAATTTGTAAACTCTTGCCGAAGTCAATTTTCATGCACCATTTCCAGGACCATCTTTGTAATCTACTGTTACCACCTTGTATTTTTGTGCTACTAATGATCACATAGAATTACATACTACGGTTAATTTCCTTCTACATAATACCTTGTATAATATCGTTAGATTTATGTGCAACCTTACGTAAACCACCTGGGTGTTTTACTAGTTAATGAATAATAGATCAGTAGACGGACTGTTATCTTCAGCTATATCTCCAATCCTTTCTCAAAGAGATTTGTTGAAGAAATATTTAGTACCCAAAGTACTTTATTCTGGTGCTAGCAGATTCTGTGATTGCATGAGATTAGACAGCTTGTCTTGAATCATTTTATTTTTTGAGGACGCTGGCAAATGTAGTAGCCAAATTGATAAGGATACAATGATACGATCTATTTAGTTCAATCCTTAACAGAAGTTACCAGTATCTTCTAGTTCTCGTGAACTAATCCTAGGGTAAAGAAACAGCAAGAAACTCAACTAGTAAATGATTAGCAATGTCTGTAGAGATTAAAAACAACATAAGGTGTAATCATCTACAATTTGGATTTAGAGATGAAAGTCCATCCCCGCATATAAGTATAATAAGTCACTGAATTAGTAAGCTGTAAGAGGGATTATCGCTGCGATAATCAAATTTTCTTTCAAGACGTTGATGGGAAGTCCAAGATCCTGATTAACTTGTGTAAAATTTAGAATTCGGATTTTATTTCGATTATGTTAAAGTATTTTGTATTGGCTATATGGATTATCAGTCTCGTATGAAAAAAGTAAAAACGGTTCGTGATTTATTATATCGAACGCTTCTGTGACATTAACTTATACTTGAAGATAAAAACTAGGAAACGTCGAAACTCAAGATCTAAAGTCAATCCTTACTTCCAGATATCCAAAGATGTGCCAGCTATTGTTCTAAAATATGGGCTGGCCGTAATTATTTAACTGAGGCCCTGTGTAAGTCAGCCATCAAAATCCATATATTTATATACTGAATCCGAAGGTTCTGAGAACTGATTATAAAATTTAAAACTATGGATTCAATATCTTTCAAATGCGCTCCTATTTTAAAGTCACTATTAATAATACGTCACAAATAGTTCCATCCCACTGTTAACTAAATTGTTGGCTAATCACTGGTATAAAACTGATACATAATGTAAACTATATTGATTATTTCATGTTTTATGAGATAGGTGTTAGACGCTGCCGCAGCTTTGCAGGTTTTGGTACCAAAGATATCATAATAATATCCCTCATTTGTGTAGTACTAGAGCAGGGATTTTTACTAATGATGTAAGTCGTGTGTTGATCCAAGAGAGGCATAACGTGTGAGAGCAGCTAGAACATAGTTCAAGTAAAATAACTATCGCTGGATGCCTTATCAAAAGTGAATAAACCATTCATGTACGAAAATGTTTAGCCAATCCAAACTCTAGTGGTCATATACACACCATTCATGTGACAAACAGAAGTTTAGTTGACATTTAAAGCTAACACGAATATAATATCTAACAAGTTCTCACTTTCTGGTGAAAGTTTATTTGACTTTGGTAGTTTGCCTCAAATACAACACGGAGAACACCAACCTAATCACACTTGATGAAGAAACACTGGAAGATGTGGGGTCTTCCGCGTACCGCATCATCGATGAACAACGAGGATCGGATGCAGACGTAAATGTAAGGATCGAAAATATAACGGCCGCATTCCTACAATTGAAGAGCATATAAAACTCAAGACAACTGTCAACCAATGTCAAGGTCACAATCTTCAATACGAACTTCAAGACAGCCCTACTGTGCAGAGATGAAACGTAGAGAACTACTACAACCATCATCAAAAAGGCACAAGTATTTATAAACATTTGTTCACACAAGATACTCAATATCCGTTAGCCGGATACCATCAGCAACAGTCTACTGTGAGAGAGAATGAACTAGCTGCAGTTGAAGAGGAAATCAGGAAAAGACGTTGGAAATGGATAGGAGACATACATTACGGAAATCAGCAAAATGCATCATGAGGCAAGCCCTAACTTGAAATCCAAAAGGGGAACGGAAAAGAGGAAGACCGAAGAACACGCTATGTCGGGAATCGGAAGCAGACATGAAAAGGATGAATAGCAACTGGAAAGGATTTCCCAGGACAAGGTTGGATGGAGAGTACTGGTTGGTGGCCTACGCTCCTCCAGAAGTGGTAACTGGCGTGTTTGTCTAAATAATTCTGAACAATTTAATGTACGTTATGGGTCTGTGCTAACAGCAACAACTACTCGTAACAGTTAGTACGCAAAATGTGTAAAGTTGGACCTAAAGAAAAAATAATTACAGATACCAAAAGATGATATTACAGGAACACTCCTACGACTAATTTTTGTCGAGCCCTTTTATTAACTTACTTAACATACAATATTGTTCGAACATTAAGAATTCGTATATTTACTTGTATTATTATGATCGCTATCATGTCTGTATAAACGTGTATACTTGATCACATGTGACAGCGTACACGCATATCTCCCCCTAACTTAAATATTACTCGATGAATCATTCTCTTTTCCATGTATATATGTATTCGAATAGCACTAATAACCTTTACCTTGCCTTGGTTCGATATGACTATAAATTCACATCTGTATTCACTCACAAATACACTGGCCTTTCTGCTCGAAGTGCTTGTAACTTGGTTATCTGTGCTATCCGCTAATAAACTATAGCTGCCGCTTCTTATTGCCCTCCGAATTCAAACACCGTTGGGATTTATATAATAACGGTTATCAAGGTGATTGGTAGGCGAAGCCTACGGAATCATCTCGAAACCAAGCCACAAAATGTTTTAGTTAGCATCTAAAAAAGGTTTTTGTTCGTATTACTCTGCGAATTGTAGTAACTAAAGGGTGGAATATAGTAAAAGTTGATGTTCAGTAGGAAAAAATAAAGTTGAGAAAGTCCCTACTGAGCAGGAATATTTCTCAGTCAGTTTATCATTGTGGTTACACACGATTATAAACATTACAAAATCGATAGGTGTCATTTATATAGTGAAGGTAGGTATTAGAAGTAAATAATCTAGTAAGCCATTCAAGATGAATATCGATAGTTCCCGTTTGTGTGATAGACATGCATGTAAACCATGTAACAGGCTGAATAATATACTGCAAATGGTAAGCGTATAAGCACAAAAATCTTTACATTGTTTTGGTGCGTTCGCGCAGTTAGAATTAACGTAATTTACGACTTAAATAAAACAATTTTTCTTTCGTTTTCAGGCAAGCGATTCATCCCCTTTTAGAAAGTCGAGCTTGTCATCAAGCAATTCGTTTCGGAAGTAAACTTAGCAGAAAGCAAATGGAGAAACTTATAATTGAACTTTCAAGATGTCGTATACCTTTCCAATGCGCACATGGACGTCCAACTTGTACTTTAATTAAAATAACTGATAAAGAATATGATTAAATTTTATAGATAAAAATGTCCATAATACTAAGAAGTAAATATTTCAAAATAAAATCTATACAGTACTATAATTGTCTAGTTTTAATCTGTACACCTTAATCTGAAGACAATAGTGTGGTCGACATTTATACTTTTTGTTAAAACAAATCTTAAAAAATAATTTATGAAAACAGAACAATGTTACATGTCAAACAATTTGTAAAAGGATATGGTTTAAGAAGAAAATTACAGTGTTTGATATTCATGAAGTATATCACTATATGAAATATTACGAAACATTTTCAGAGGATGCCATTTTAAATGTTCTGCAAAATTTAATCCAACCGACAGGAGTGAATATTGCAGTTATTCTAAGCCTTTCTGAACTCGAAGGGGAGGTGTCCACGCTTGTGACCATAGCATTAGAATAAATCCATCTATAAAAACAAAATAAAAATCCACTCGTTGGAATTACATACTTGTTAATGATTGATATTAAAGATAGAAATACAATTTTTAAAAATCGCTATCGAAACTACCATCAAATGCTTTAGTGTTGTAATACATATATTACGTATGTTATTTTTGCGTAGATTGTAAACTTCTAATTTCGAATGGCTGAATTAAATGAGAATGATTAAAGTGCTTGTGCATTAATAGTATCTGATCACCTAACAGTTACGATAATAAATATAGCTAGTCCGATTTATTCTCAGTTCCAGTAGATTCAGTTCAAGTTAAATTGAGGATTCTTCATTGTATCTAAACATATATATAGACCAGCACAAAAAGATTTCCGCTCAAAAAGTTCTACCTTAAATGTTCCTCTTAAACAGGTATCATTCCGTACTGTCATACTGTAGCCTGTTATATCGTAACCTGAGAGATGATAGAACATTTGGTAGTCGTAGGGCTAACACTAGGAGTCAAACATCTTATCTGTTTTAAGAGGTATGAATGAGAGATTTGTTAATGGAAGTTGATTACCGATGTATATAATACACCTCTCCTGATTAGTTGATCTACTGATTGATCAATGTTGAGGTCAAGTACAGAGTTAAAAATATATGTTAGATTGTAGACATACTTAAATACGACACTTATTAGATAAGTGGAGGAACTTTCTACCTCGAAGTAGTATATTAGTTTGAGTGGACTTCAGGCAGGAAAAACTAGGGGTAGTATCAACTAAACAAGGTATCAATTCAGGTTTTGGCCATAATCCGACTAATAATCACAATATACATCTTCGACATTTTCGCTGATAACGTTCACGTTAGTTAAATAATCACATCCACCAACCCGGTTATGAAAAATCTTACCGATTAAACTCTATGCACATAACCGAATTTCCGACTTCAAATGACCAGTATCATTTGAGAAAAGAATGACTATTATACAAGCATATATAGGAAAACTAAAATTCTTAAGTGTTTTAAGCACTTTTCACCTCTAATAACAGACAAATATGTTTCTACAAATTATTTGTATGTTCTTCTTATCTGAGATTTTATAATCCTGTAAATCTGACAGTTAATTTAGATACTACGGATGAAACAGATGATAGAATTACTATATTAGGATTACCAATACTCACTGAAAACTAGGACCACCTTGGCGAACATCCAAGGTGCGTGAAAACCATCCAAGACGTTTCATTAAAGCTAGTTGAACTTTTGAAGTCAACTCTTTCATACCTGTCCCAGTTTTAGCAGATATTAATGCATCAAATCCAGTGTACACATCATTTGATTCACTAAAAGTTCATACAAAAAAAACAAAGTAACTTAATAAGTACATAATATATAATGTTTATAGTAAAATATGTATCAGCTACTTAACTCCTACCATTTTATATATGGTGATTAATTTTAGTCAACTAAGTGTTTACCAAAACGATTTCTAATGTGCGTTAAACTAATGTCAGTAACTGTTAGTTTTGACTCTGATATCTGGATACCACAGCCTCTATTTTCCTTCTGGCCACAGCTACTGCAAAAACATCTTGCAAGTAAGACAAAAAGGATTGATTTAAGCAACCAATACAAGCGGACAACCACATTATAGAGAATGACCTTAAAAATAGGGCAAACCCTGCTATGGTTAAAGAGCTAAGAGTCAATTAAAAAAATCTTTAAACACTATAAACTAAAGGATAACTACCGTAGGGAGACTTGGTGTGCAAAATAGAGATTCAAATCTCTAAAATAACAAAATAATTAGTAAGTGATTTCTAGGGGAATTAACACATTCTGCCCTCCATCAACAGTTCCAGAGTGAATTCCACATAAAAAATAGCCGATATTTCATGTCACAACGAATGATGATTTATTTACATGCCAGCAACGGGTGCAGTCAATCACTTAAGTCGAATGCAACGTAGAACCTACCATGTGTGTACACCGGATCAGGTTTCCATACTTCATTAGCACAGCGGGATGAAATTGCTAGGCCAAATCCTGGAGTAGTAGAAGTGGTAACAGAGAAGATTAGACACTGAATATATGCTTCAAGAAGATACAAATCGGTGGAACAAAAACATTATCAGGAATTTAGAAACTTAGGATCTGGGAGAAGACAGAGTCGATGCACCTGAGCCACCGCGAACGATTTTGAGCCATGTCATTTAAAGTCTCTAACCAACGGTTAAAATAGTCACACAAACCCCAAAACGGGTAGTTTGCACCAATTAACATCCCTCAGTCCAATTAATAATGACTTTATAGGTGGTATCAAGTCTTGTTTTGACTACACCTATCTTTTTTAACCTACCCCCAGATCAGACCACCCATTGAGGTAGGCAGTGGTCGTTTATATGAAATAGATGTTTCAACCACCTTATATGACTAGAATGTACCACCCCATCAATCGATTTACCATCTTTATCTAGTACCATACGCTTAACCTCGGCACTGCTTATTCAGTAGAACTGAAATGCACGAGAAATGCTTTCCGGACACCTATGATTAAATACTAATAACCTACGAGTATCTTCAATTCTTAACGGCTGTTTCGCACTTATAAAATAGAGCAGAGCGAAAGGCTGCACAGCATACACGTTATTTAGTTGGCAGACAGATATCTTGTCTACGCCATAAATAGGTCAAGTTGGGAAAGGCCAATCGAGCTTTCTGAATTCGTGTAGAGATTTTGTCAGACACCAATCCACCAAGACTGGTGAAACTCCGAAAATAAGTGAAATGATCGATACGCGTTACTACTTCACTCCATATCATTAACTCAGGTGCTGATGCAGGTCAGTCCTGAAGTAAAACTTTGTATTTAGAGGGGAGAGAATCACATTAAAAAATGCTTGCATTATTGCTCAAGTTGATCGCAAGACTTTTTCAGTGTCTTTATCAAACAGAACTATGTCATTTCCAAGTAATAAGTCGGAAAGTGAATCTTCTGATAAGTGACCAACCACTGAAAAATCAAACGGGAGCGTTTTCTCTGAAGAATATCTATGATAAAAATAAATAAAAATAGGGAAAGTAGACAACCATGACGAACACCACTTGAAGTTAAGAATTTTAATAGCAGTTTCTAATAAGCTCTGACTCGACCAGTAGTGTTCGAATACAGAACCTGAATAGGGTTGGTGCATTTTTCAGTACGCCTTCGAATGACAGATACTGCCACAGAACCTGAAGGTCAGTTGGACTGGTTTACCCTTTGGTCCACTCTCTTGAATTGAGAGTGAATAATATTCGCATCTTTTTCCGAGATGGTTTCATTAACAGCCGGATTTTTAATACGCACTTCCTTGATAAGTCTAAATAGTTACCTGCTATTACCTATCACCGCTACCTTTCCATCTCGTTTTCTTTCGCTACCTACCACTGCTCACAATCATTGGGTAGGCTTTTAACCACCCTAAGTAAGTTGCTTCCGCTCTTCATCGTGTTTGGAACCAGACAGGATAAGCTTCCAAACAACCATCAGTTCTTTAGATAATACACTTATCAGGTGATGAAAAGATTTTTTTAAAAGTCTGCAAATTTAATACTGATATACATACAAATTACCATTTTTGGCATTTCCATGCCAATTCATATATTCATACGCTTTTGATAAAGTCACGAATTCTGATGACAAAACGTCTATGATTAAATATGAGACCTTACAGGATCGCAAACAAAAGTTTCCCTTATTCCAAGCAACAACATTTTGACGAAATAGCAAAGTGTACTTTATCGTATACACCTTTATATTCTAGGCAAGATTGTACTGTTATGTAACAAGAAATAAATTGACCTTATACTTTAATGATACCCTTATATTAATCTGGAATTCAGATATTACACATTCTCACAAAAGTCAACAAGAAAATGACCTCTTACTTTCCTTACATTCGATCTAGTTTGTTACCGATTTTTAACACTTGAGGTGGTTCAAATGCATTGGAATCGTTTGTGTGTCCAGAATTTGTCGGTTTTTTTATAACACCAATATTGCACAACAGCTCCTCTACATGATTCACTTGTAATTGCCATTCAGGTTGACTTACATCAACTATGTGCAAAATTAGATCCTAAAATTGATGGATAATAGCATGAACAACAAAACGAACATAGGTTAAGTGAATGTAGTAACACAGGAAGAACAAAAGTTACGAATAGGTAGATTTCATTGTACATTTTTTGATTTAAAAACTTCAAACATCAAATTAAAAAGCGGAGGTAAGAACAATCAATCCGAATTTTGGCAATAAGTTACATTCTTAAAAATACTGTAAGTCTAGTGAGCGCTAACATACAGCAGTATCTTCGAAACACGACAACAATTACCTAATTGGTATAAATGTGTATGTGTACGTATCATAAATTTTGTCAGCTAGCACAATACAACAGATGAAAAACGCATAAGAATTTGAAATATAAGCTTGTGTCATCCCTTCAAAAGGGGGTAGTTTCCGGGATTCAAGGCAAAACATTTATCATTTAAAGTTGATATATGAATACCATTATAGTGGTAAAAACTCCTTCAAATGAAACAACAAGCTAATCCGTAATTTGATTACATGAGATTGTGTAATGAAAGAAATACAGACACGTAACAAACTCACTGCATCTAAACATTCATCTAAAGTAGCTCGAAACGCAGCCAATAAATTTGTTGGAAGATCAGACATAAATCCTATTGTATCCAACAGTAACATTTGTATCCCAGGCAACCCTATACTATTAGAACAACCACCATCGCTGCCATTCTCAGAAAACAACTGATCAGAAGTCATATTGTTCTCTTCTACTTTATTTGGAAGTATAGGCAACCGACTTCGATGATGTGTGATATCCAAAGTGGCGAACACTTCTGGGGATGAAGCAAGTTTGTCTGATTTGCTTAAATAGCGTATAAGACTTGTTTTACCTATGGAAGAATGAAAATGAAGTGAAATATTCACGTAAAAGCATAAAATTCAATTGGTGGGATATAAATTGGATTAAAGAATGTTCTGTGCAAGATTTTATTGGAGCACGCTGACGGGTTGTTTTTTGGCCAATCAGAGCTAGAGAATACTTGGAGAAGACACTAGAATCTTCTCATATAAAATTTTAAATAAAGTGACATTTTATTATTGTGATTCTTCCTCTCATTCGACCTTGTTTATTTGGAATATAATTACGTTCAACTTTGTTTTGATTTGGGGACTTTGTGAAATGAAATAAGGTGTTCGAAGAATGCTAGGCAATAAGAGTAGCTGGGTTGTTTTGAAAAAAATCATAATAGTATTGTGATTAGAAAACGATAGGCGGGAATAATTTGTGCATATCTAAACAAATGTTAATATTCGGCTATATATTTTCATGATTTAAAATGTAGTAGGCACTGGAAAAATAAAAATGTATAACAACATAGTCAGTCAGTCAACCACATGGGAACTTTTACTGAAGCTAATAAAAATATTACCACTTATTGCTACGACTTGAGACGCTAACTGATGTAATATGCTAAATCCAGCAATCAGAATTCTGAGTAGTCATTTTTATCCCACGTCTACTATTGCGTCTAAGGTTTAGCTTCCTCAACTGAACAATTATATGTCTGACCTGAACAGTTAAACTTGGACAAACGCAAGCTAAGTAGCTCCTATTGATCCGCTATCCACGAGCTTTTTTCTATGCCATGTCTTGAGTCCAAAGAGAAGTCAGCAACAGTCACTTATCCGGAAAATTCATTGACAAAAGTCATGTAAAAAAATTACCTTAGAGACACCACTAAAAATAAGAGTGAATTATGGATTTAATAAAATTTAGTTTTTAGCAGCACTTATGCAAGTCGACAGATTATATTTAAAACTACTTTAGACTACGTAGTAAACTTATTGTCATACAATATACACCGATTCAGAAAATCGGAATGAAAAGAATAAGAAAGGCATAACCAGTCGACCGCTAATCATCTACAGTTCCAATAGATGAATGGAAAATACACTGAGTAACAATTAATCTAAAGCGGTACACCAACTTTGAAGAAGCCTGTTTGTTCTTTATCTAGATGATGACAAAATTGGCGGACACTTTGTCCAACATAGCATCTCATGGAGTCTGTAAAGTTTACTATATGGATAATATTCAATTTGCTCTCTTTTGTCGGTTTTTCTGTTTAGATATAACTGACAAGAGTTTGTTGCCCAATGAGCTACATCTTTGCTTATAAAACTCAACAATTTTGTTGTAATTTGTTTTATGTTTACTGAACTGGAGAAAATAGACACTTGGAGATGGATCCGCCAAAAAAACAAATCTAAACTTATATATCTCACCAGCATTGGTATATCCCACAACAGCAACCAGTGGTAAATGATGTTTCTCCATATCTCGTCTATGATTACGCCTATGATGAATACGTTGTTTGGAAATTTTTTCCAGTTGATTTAAAAGACTAACTTCTGTCTGCTATAATGAAAGTAAAATTGGGAAGGATTTTTTGCAATCAGAAAAACCAATAAAATTTATTTAAAATTGAATAAAAATAAGATATCTGACGAAACAAAAGTGACCTACAATCACTTGTTTGTTAACTGGCATTTAATCATGTTTGGGTATGCAATCGACATTCTGTAGATAAGCACAATATTTTACTAGAGAAGAATGACTTATCCTCTTGACTAAAAATTCCACTTCTTTTGATAAGGGTTCATTCGGGGAACTTGCGACAATAATTCAACCTCGTCACCAGTTATCTATCAGGTACTAGATATCATCCATCGAACAATATTCTTATTTATTCACTCTTACAAACCCAACGAACGGGTGGGTCAGTGTAACTCACCAAGAAAGACCACATCGTTATTGTGTTGCGAGGTTTTTGATCCTGAAACTGATAAACAAGCTCCCTATTCGCAACCCCGACTCGGCACTTGAGTGAGAAGCAAGCGTTTAATTAGCAAACGAGATCGAGAAATAACTATGTATATAAGCCATATTTTATTCCTTAGAAAATGACGTCAGATATTGACCAACGGCGTAGGCTTATCATTGAGTCGAGGTCTCATTGGTTTACTGTATCAATCATAATTTTAAACATTTATAGTTGATTGTAGATTCATTTTCCAAATAGAGTTTAAATAGGTTAAACAAATTGAATAGTCTTTGACTAGATATAAATAAACTGGAAAAAGTCTATTTATTTCACATGACTGGTGTCTGCAAGCTACGCAACAGAAAGTAATACTGAGAAACGAACCAGATATAAGTGTTACTCTGTTACAATTCTGCTTCAGAATGCATACTTTCTTGACCGGTTCAATATCTACAATCAGACAGTAATTCTACACATATTCTTTTTATCTACTCAGATGAATAGTAGTAGAGAAAAAAATATGATCGCCTGCTGCAGGAATTCAAATGCTATACAGTAAATTAGTCCTGTTGTTACATTGCCCCCGAATGCCCTGGTACGGCCGAGAGTGGGGTGAGTCCGCTCTCCCTCTCGAAATACTCTCACACGGCCGCGCGTATACAGCCTCTGCCAGGGAAGTCCTACTCATTGCCTTCTCGTGACGGGGGTGTTGTTTACGAAAATGAGAGGACGAAAAGCGAATGTCCGGCGCTTTAACCGGATCACAAATCAATGGTGCACATGGGCTCCAGTATCCTGCGGGAACAAATGGCGTATGAACCAATCTTTGGTCACCGGCTACCATGGGATTGCATCTCCTTACGATGCTCCAGTGCCTTGTGGGTTAGACCTTTAGGTCAAAGGCTCGGGGAGTGGCCCCCTAAGATAACCACCTGCTTCGGTTTGGGCACCCGGGCAGTATCACAGCCCACACACAAACGATGAACTCTATGTCTATGGCACCTATTTTCTCGCTCCGAAAAACAATCAATCGATTCAAATAATTATCATTACTATTATTGTCATTATTAATACTATTATTATTACTATTATTGTCATTATTATTATTATTATTATATTATTATTATTATTATTTATTATTATTATTATTTTCCACATTATTCACCCTCTTTTATACTTATACAGCGGCTCGTCTTTGGTGGAAATCCGACTGTATCTAAACGTTCTCGAGTCACTATCCGGTCGAAAATTGTATGTTACCATCGAATATGAGTACTGAAGCAGTTTTTCTGAAACCACGTGCGCCATTCAAACTGGCTGCCTTCAACGTTCGCACACTTATGCAGGTTGGTCAACAGATAGGGCTGGCTATGTCTTTGGAAAGTCTTAATATCGATGTCTGCTGTCTATCCGAGACCCGTATTAAAGACTCTGGTGAAGTACTACAAATTCGCCCTCCATCTGTCACTTCAAAAAGCTTGTTTTACGTGCGCTTATCCGGGGACCCTGTGCCATCTTCGTCTGGTCTTGCTGGCGTTGGTGTCGCTCTAAGCGCTAGAGCTGAGGCAGCACTAGTCGATTGGATCCCCATTAACAGTCGGTTATGTGCTGTTAGATTAGAAAGTTCCATCAAAGTGAGAAGAAATCGGCGTGAGAAACGATGTCTTTTCGTCATCTCCGCCTATGCCCCGACAGATTGCAGCCCGGATGTTTTTTTTTTTTAGTTTTACCACCAGTTATCTGTTCTTCTCCAGAAAGTGCGTTCGACAGATATTGTAGTACTAGCCGGAGACTTGAATGCTCAGGTCGGGCGTCTAGGCACAGAAGAGAGTCGTTTAGGTGGCCGATGGGGACTTGTTGGTCGCAGGACAGACAACGGGGACCGTCTACTGCAACTTTGCACAGACCACAACCTGTTTCTGGCTAGCACTAACTTTCGGCACAGTCATCGCCGATGTGCCACCTGGCGTCCTCCCTCTGCATCCCAAGCCTGGACTCAGATTGATCACATCGCGATCAGCTACCGCTGGCGTGGTTGTGTAAAAGACTGCCGCTCCTTTTGGAGTACCTATCTGGACTCTGACCATGCCTTGGTCTGCGCCAATCTTGCCTTACTTTTCAGTGGCCAACGAAGTGACCACCAGCAAAGGATTGATATTAGCAAGCTGGTTGCAACTTCTGTTGCAAATAAGTATCGAAACGAGCTAGCCTCTAGGCTAGCTACCACTCCACCGAAAAGTATAGATGAGCATTGGTTGCAATTGCATGACGCCATGAAAATGGCGGGAACAGTCAGTTGTTGGTTTGCGAAACGTCCCGCTTATAAGCACTGTGTCTCTTCAGGCTCCTACAACACATCGAACCCCATCGGTCTACTCCGGGTGACCGTGAGTTTGACCATAAACGAAGGATGTTACGTAAGGAAATTGGGCAAAGCTTGCGTAAGGACCGAGAAGCCTGGTGGTCGAAGTGCGCTAATGAGCTGGAAGCAGCAGCTGCATCTGGTAACTACCGGGAGCTCTTCCAACTAATCCGAGCCACTGGCAGCAAGAAGTCTGGTGTGAGTGAAACAATCTGCGAGGATGATGGGATGCCAATCACTAACATCCATCGACGTCTTGGACGATGGGCAGAATTTTTCGAAGGGCAGTTCAACTGGCCTGCTGCTCCGGCAACATCGGTCAGACTGTCCTGCCCTCCATGGCCGGTGACGACTGATCCACCAACGAGGAGGAAGTCCGCAAGGAACTCCAACTCTTGAAGCGTTACAAATCACCTGGCCCAGATGACTTACCTCCGGCTCTTTTTAAAGATGGTGGTGACTTTTTGACTAAGGAATTGACGACGTTGTTTACAAAGGTTTGGGAACTAGAGAGTGTACCAACGTCATGGAATGAGTCGATAGTTGTCCCTATCTTTAAAAAGGGTTCACGTCGTTCCGTAACAACTATCGGGGGATAAATTACTTCCGATTGCGTCCAAGCTATTGGCTTCCGTCATACTTCGTAGGTTGTTCAAAACCCGAAAAAGATTGACTCGCGAGGAGCAGGCTGGGTTTCGTTCTGGTCGAGGTTGTATTGATCATATCTTCACCCTCCGCCAAATGTTAGAACATCGCCATACTTATCAAAGGCCAACAGTCGTAATGTTTCTTGACATCAGGGCTGCCTTCGATTCGTTGGACAGGACTGTTCTCTGGGATTGTCTATTGAAGAAGGGTGTGCCTGAGAAGTTTATTAACATCCTAAAAGCCCTGTATAAAAACACCTCAGGCAGAGTGAGGGCATACAACCACCTCTCTCCATTGTTCCATTCAAGCAGTGGGGTTAGGCAGGGTTGCCCAATCTCACCATTCCTCTTCAACTTTGCCATCGATGACATTCTGGAAACAGCTCTGATGAATGTAAGTAATGGTGGTGTGGACCTGTTGCCTGGAGAAAGACTTCTCGACCTTGAGTATGCGGACGATATTGTCTTACTGTGCGATAATGCCCAAGGCATGCGATCCGCACTTAATCAGTTGGCAATCAATGTCCGTAGGTATGGTATGTGCTTTGCACCTTCGAAGTGCAAAGTACTCCTACAAGACTGGCAGGATTCCAATCCTGTACTCACCCTGGATGGTGAGCAGATAGAAGTAGTCGAGAAGTTCGTGTATCTGGGTAGCTGCATAAGTGCTGGTGGGGGTGTGAGTGATGAGATCAATGCACGTATAGTGAAAGCCAGAGCGGCTTATGCCAATCTGGGCCATCTTTGGCGCCTTCGTGATGTTAGTCTGGCCATAAAAGGTCGGATCTACAACGCGTCGGTGAGAGCAGTTTTGCTCTATGTTTGTGAAACCTGGTCTCTCCGAGTTGAGGACGTTAGACGACTCTCTGTGTTCGATCATCGCTGTCTCCGAAGGATTGCTGACATTCAGTGGCAACACCATGTCAGTAATGCAGAGGCTCGGCATCGTGTGTTCGGGCACAGAGATGATAATTCAATTGGTGTTACCATCTTGAAACACCGACTTCGGTGGCTTGGACATGTTCTCCGAATGTCGTCTCAGAGAATTCCACGTCGTGCATTATTTGCCGACTCTGGGACTGGTTGGAAGAAGCGGAGAGGTGGTCAGTGCATGACATGGTGTCGTGGCATGAAAGAAAGCTGCAAAGGACTGGCTTGTGTTGGTCCTGCACGACTCCCTGGTTGGGGTCTGAGAGATGGTGCTACACAGTGGCTAGAGACGTTATCAGATATGGCTCAGAATAGAAGCCAGTGGCGATCCTGCTGTAACCTTCTTTTACTTTCTTCATAAAAAGTGGTTCTGTCTCCTTACCTGAAAGATTTCTTCCGATTGTACCTTTGCGTTCCCTGATTACTAGCACATTACCTTACACCAATCTCTTCGTTATTGTTCTCTCTTTTTTTTGTTGCGCTCCTTAGCTTTTCTTTCTTTCTTTATATTCCTCTCGAATTTTCATTGTTTTTGTGGCGCATATATATTGGCGCTCTCTTGTACTTGTACTTGTTGTTACATTGATTATTTTCGTACTAACTATTAATTGTGAGAGTAAAAAGTACACAAGAAAAAAGTTTCTTCGACTAAGAAACACAGCTTTAAAACCCTAGAAAAATTATTGCGAAACAAGTTTTTTAAAACAAATTGATAATTAACTCTTACATTAAGTATTTGTAATAAACGTTCCTTTGTAGCGAAATCTGACCTATCAACCAAGCATTTAATCATATTAGGTGTTTCAAAAAATGCTGGAATACGAGCTCGAAGTAATCCAATTTCAGCTAACTTTGCTTGAAGTTTTGCTTCTGGAGTACGAGATCGAAGATTAAAAAGCTGAACAACGATGGTGTAACTGAAATTACAATTAACAGCAAAAAAACTAAACAACTCTTTTTCCAGAAAATAAAGGAAATTAAGTTTCATCGACCAAAAAGTACAGCACTATCCAGTTGGATGACAGTAGATAAAGTCTATGTGACGCTTAGGAGGAGGATTCCTGTCAATCATCAATATAGAACTAGTTGAGATCTACACACTTAGCAGCAGTATAACATAAGGAAATTATCACGGTGAAAGTCTAAGTTGGGATAATAATAGTAGCAACTTGAGTAAAGAAAATTAAACCGTACAGCCATACAAGGTCTCTAACTATAAACTACGATTACCAGACAGACTCCCATCAGGATCAGAAGTAATTCCAGTCAGAGGCATCCACACTTTGTCTTACCTTAGATTTCGAGTTTTAAAATTAGCTGGTACTTTCTAATTCACGACTTTATTGTTTTTCTCGAATGATAGTATCTATGCCCAAGGTTTTCTGATACCATTGAAACTGCTATAAATGCCACTTTGAAGTATATATTGAAAAGTCTAACTCGCTTGTTCATAGTCATATGCAAACGAAGAATCAAGTAAATATGTGCATCTTTTTAAATTACCACAACAAACTAAAATAATCAACACAAATCTCAGAGTAGGATGATTGATAACAATATTAGTAGTGGGGTAAACGATTAGGTATAAAAAGGAAAAAGAGGTTTAAGATTTCAGGACTTAGATTCTAAGAGAAGACAGATTGAATGTACTCAAACCACTGTGAACGGTTCTGAGATATCAACCAACGTCTCCACCCACCGGTTATAATAATTACGCGAACACTAACCAGATAGTCTGCATCTATCTACAAGGCTCGGTCCAACAGTCAAAGAATTCATGAATCGACCCCTGACTTTGGTAAAACCTCAAAACATACTCATACACCAGTCATCATGAACAGCCGAGGTAGGTGGTAGTAACTTATATTAAGACATGTCCCAATAATGTCAGCTAATAAAAATTCACAACCTCATCAACCGATTTGTTCTCTTTACCTAATACTCTGAGTCCAACGTAAAAACTGCTTACTCGGCGGTCTCAATATACGCGAGTGATATTTTCAAGATAACTACGAATGAATACTATTTTTCTATATTTTCTATTTTTAAAGGCCACTTTTCACAGCCATAAAATAGAGCAGAGTGAAGTGCTGTACAGTATACTCGATATTTATTTGGCAGACAGATATCTTGTCTACGAAATAAATAGGTCAAGTTGGGAAAAGCCAATCGAACTTTCTAAATTCGTGCAGAGATTTCGTCAGACACTAATCCATCAGGGCTGATGAGACTTCTAAAATAAGTGAAGTGATTGACGAGCTACACCAATTCACCCCCCTTAGTAGATAAAGTGTTAACGCAAATTAGTTGCATTTAGGTGGAGAGAATCTCATTTTAAACACCACTGTATCGTTGTTCAAGGCGTCTTCATCAAACAGAACTGTCATTTGTACATTATAAGTCAGCAAGTGAATCTTTCAGGAGATCAATTCTTGAAAAGTTAGACGACAAGAGCGTTATCGCTTAAAGAATATCTATAACGAGGTTGAATAAAATAGGGAAGGTGGACAACCATGAAGAACACTGTTTTAAGTTGACAATTCATCTAGCTACACTGATATGGCGTGGCAACTTGAACCGATGCACATATGTACCAGGTTTCACGTTGCTTGTGGCTTGATTAACTAACTAACCAGGATTTCTATGGGCTTTTTGGGTTATATATGCTATGATTATGTCAATCCAGACATTATGTTTGAAAACTGGTTACGCTACCAGGGAAACGAAAACAAAGTAGAATGTGACAGGGCTATTTAGCGATTTAAGTTGTCAACTTAAAAAACAAACAGCGGAAGACCAACTAGGGGAAAAACAAGAGTAATGGTGGCTAGGCCACTCAGTATACAACCATTAAAATTTTAAATCCACTACAACCACTTTGGTTCGAGCAACCAAGTAGTACATCACAAACCTTCATATGCAAACACCACAACTTGAAACCGGGTATATAAACCTGTACTGGTTAACAAAATCCACGAGATTTGAAAAAAATAACATGTATACATTAATGTTTATCCGACATACTCTGAACTATGCTATTAAATTGTGAGTTTCTGTATTGTTTTTTTTTTCGTCATGATTATGAAGTTTGTATTTCTGTACACAATTCAAGTCGAAAATCGATGTTGTGTTCTGACCATAATGCGGTCTCTTCTATCCCGTTTCTTTTTTAGTTGTTTACAGCGAAACAGCTATCCAACGCTCACTAGTTTCTAATGCTTATTCAGATGTCACTTAGTGAAGAAAACTATTTCTAAACTAAGCTGATTTTCCACAAACTTACAAAGAAAATAATTAAACGAAATCACACATAGGAAACAGATGAATCTTAAGTAACAAGTACACCAGTTTAAGTTGTTTTTATTGAGAAATATTAAGATCAAAGAAAAAACCAACAGAGATCTTCCCATAGTAACAAGCTAAAAACCTAATAATTCAATTATTAATTTTCAGTAGGTTCAAAATAAAACTAACCGATCATAAACAGGCATTAGCCAGGCCTGTTGCATAAGTGCCAGTTGTAGTGTTGTTAAACGAGGCCAATTTACGAGGACTGCTGTTGCTCGCTTTTTAACTGTATGATCAGAGGATGAGTTATTTTTTTCGTTAGGAAGTGTATCACCAGTCTGAACAGACTGTTTCCCATCACGATAAGCAATTACAGACTCTGATACATTTTGCCATATACCTTTACTAAAAACGGTCCTTTATTAGTTTTGGCGGCTTTTACATTGCAAATATCTAGAAATATGATTTAAAGAATTAATGAAAATATCATCACCTATCCAATACTTCTCAAACTAACAAAAACAATTTCCCACTTCGGGATAAATAGTAAAACAAATTTGCATTCACAATATATAAACCAAATGTGTGATAACGCATGAAAATAGTTTACATAGCAAACTGATATCAATTAGTGAACCAATGGGAATCGGGAAGCACCAGACAGGTAGTTGGTTTTTGTTTCAGTGTTCTCAGAAGTTGTATACTCACAACACATATGATAAAACCTGGGAGAACATCATGTTTTGCGGTGAACGTCTTTAGATCGGTGGGTAAGAACTCAAGTGTTCAGTTTTTCAACCTCAGTCATATTAGATTAATGAACAGCATATGGCATAAATCATTTATCCAAACTGGATATATTATTTATACAAATCCCTATGCCTTGCCTGATAGTTACATGCTCATAAACCTGCTATAACTGGATAAATACTAAGCAGTGTAGAACTTTCAGAACGGTCCTACCTGAAGTCATTTGTAATTTTGGTTGTATAATTACTAAATAGTTGAACTATTGTGTTTTTGTGTTCTCCTACTTGCATGTTTTCCAGTAATGTATATACTGATATTATGTATTGTACCTTTTTCAAGCCACTGCTGCTTATTTACGGACCTATTACTCAGTCCTCTCCCACTTACGGCGTAGTTATGCGGACATAGCAATCCCTCAATTATATTGACACGTGGCCAGGATTTTACGCTATATTACTGTATGAGTGACTCATACATTCAACTGTATAATCAGAGAGAGAATGGAAAACTACAATTCGTACCAATAGTCATTTAGTGTTATTGTCGTTTGTTATCTCACCATTGTCGTGTCACTGGTTAGCCGTCGATTGACACTAGATAGACAGCCTAAGCGAACCAATTAACTAGAGCGATATAACTGCTTTACTGTATAACGGTTGAACTAAACGGGCCCTAAAAACAACTAGCAAAAAACTTAGTTCATTTTTTTACTATCACATCAAAAAGACAAGAGATCCTGACATCCACCCTCGTGATTTAAAAAATGAAAATTATTGTGCTAGCTATAAAAAATCCTTAGGCTATTCTAATCTACTCCCTAACTGGACATGACACTGGGGTGATTACAGCAGAAATAAGTGTTTTCTTGTCCAGATCATTGCTAAAGACAAGACACTAAGATATGTAGTAGTAATGATACCAATGATAATAAGATCGGTAGTTTTGCTCAATTAATAAAAAAATTTGGAATAAACGCAAGTTGCCAGTTGTAAAGGACAGGTCCTAGAAAAAAAAGAACGTCTAGATGGTGGAGTTCCTGTGTCATAGTAACTTAGATTGGTCATTTCGACTTATTGATGGGAAAAAAGCTTAGTAAAACAACTTCGATGACAATTCTATTTATTCACAAAATCTAAGCGGCTTACTGAATTTGTCTCCCATTATCTTTTTTACTAATTAAAAGTTAATAAACTACAAAGTTTTATTTGAAGGTCAATGGTACTCTATCGGTCACCACCACCCCCCAGCTGACCAAAATCAACGTGAGAGCTGTGACTAAGTGCTTAAAGCACTAAGCTTTTAACTAATAAGTAATATTTTTGAAACTAGCTTATTAGGCAGCCTAAGTAGAATTAGTAACCCTCACATGAAACAGTATGACCTAAAACTGAGTAAATAACTCTATGTATTTAGCAAATGAGTTACATAAACATTTTATCATTGTACTATTAAAAATAATTGTTTTAAAACAGGAAATCTATGCAATATTGTGTCAAATTTGTTACAGTAATTAATTTAATTAATGTTTATTGTTTGAAGGAGAAAACAAGAGTAATATTAAATGGTCAATGAATGTATAAAAACCACAAATGTTACTCTACGTACTTCTACTGTTTTCTCAAAAACTTTGGATAATTAATTAGCGACTGAGAAAAACTCAGAGAAAATACAAATGATTTACATATTTTGCATAAGGACGGATAACTTCACATATTCTTTTAGGGATAGTGAAATAAATTCAGATCGGATCCAACTGATTTTTCATGTTGTAACATTAATATGGTAAAGAAGTTGTTGAACACTATCATCTTGACTGATCATTAGGAAGCTCAGTTGTTTGTCATTACATTAGATGGATTCATTAGATTATTCATATTGATAGCCAAACAGTTCCTTTAGAACAGTGAGTTTAATTAACGAGGATATTGGAGGACTATTTTCAATAAACAGTCCATAAAGTCACTAACTTCTGGTTTGAGCTATGTTGGTAGATGCAGACTACTTGATTAGAGTTCTCTCGACTATCGTAACCAATGGTTGGAGACTCTGGGTGGCATGATTCAGAATCGATCACAATGACGTAAGTGCATACATTCTTTGTCTTCCTTTTATATATTACTAACATTAAAGTAACTACTATGAATTTGGCGATCATCTTGTTGTACTAATGAGGTGTCGCAACTTGGACTGATACATATATATCCCTGATCTTACGTTGTAGCTGACTGACTGACTATTGAATCTTACAACATTTTTTATGATACTTATATCTCTCAAAGTTTGGTTTAAGATGTAATATTTGTAGTCTAATTGAGAACCCATTGAAATAATTAATGTGACACCTGCTACTTTAACTAGAGGAAACTTTAACGATCTAATATTGAATTAAATTTGCCGAAAGAAAACATGAACTGTCAAGTCAATATTATCTCTCTATATGAAATATTCCAAAACAAACAATATTATATGTAAGCTAGTATTAATTTTTCATCATTAGGTTAGTCACAAGACTAACAGAAATAGAGTAGAATATGAATTCGACTATACAGCAATCGCTTGTTGGAAGCTAGACTAGCAGTTAATTTAGAAATGTGTTACCTATGTTGTAAACGCTTATATTAGTGGAATCAGAGATAAACAAGCGAATTACCATATAATCCTAATGATAATGATAATAATAATAGTAATGATATATTGTTATTATTATTACACAACTCATTTACCAAAAGTACAACCATATTGGCTCTGTTCTACAAAATCCACCTATTCTCATGACGCTCAGGCCATAAAAGAATGTGTTATTTCTAGAGAACTACTGCAGTTATCAACTCAATGTTTACAATATAAGGAAGTATAATTGATTTGGTGAACCATTCGCGGTTTTACAGTTTTAAGGTATGGGTTTAGACGTAAACAGCCTCATATATGAGACTAATCAAAGGATTAACCAATTTGTTCACATCTATATACACACTCCAAAGAAAGGTAATTTATTATTATACTGGTTTTTAGGAGAACCAAACATTATTTTGGCTCTCTACAAGCTGAACAGAACAGTTTCAACTTGCAAGAAAACCACACAGGTACCAAGAACTTGAGTCATGTGATCACATTACACTTATGTATTACTTTCGACCAACAATCCCATTAACCAGTTATGCGCAGCATAAACAGGACAATTCTAATCTATTTCGATCACACAACTGCTAAACTTAATATTATAAGCAACAGCGATATGGATTTAATCAGTCAGCTACAATTATATGGATTACGTCCTAATGAAACAGGCTCTTAAAAACGCAGAAAGGGATTGCCGACATCAATGATGCCAGTTACCCAACAAATCAATCTGAGTATGAGAGGCTATTAAAATCTGGAGAGATATGATGAACCCTTCATAATATCACTAGCGAACATTAGGTTACTTAAGAAACCCTTACCTCTTTACATTAATATAACTTATGCTATGTGCTTTAGGGTTCTTACATATAGCGATTCACAAATTACCACATTAAGATCTTGTATACATGCCTAGAAGACAACATGTATTCGTGATCATTAGTTCTACATACACAGTTAACATGCTAAATGCTCTTATAAGTAGTTGGAAGAGTCTTTTATGCAAACGTAGAATACTAGAACAATAATTATCTCTGGAACTAAAGTAATGAAATTTTAAACAATGTTAAAACAGCCTATTGAAGATGAATATGAGCCTGAATATGATCAGATGAGATTTCTTGATTCAATAATTTTGTGGTTAACACGAAGAGAAATGCTACATAACAACCTGTTTACATCGCAGTAAAATTCTAGTTATCTTTACTTTATTCACCTATTTTTATTAGCTGATGTTGAGGAACTTTTCATGAAATACCGCAGGATATATTAAAGATTAGAACGAATAACTAGATGGAATAAATGTTTTCTTTACATCAGTAATGCAGTATTCAACCTAGAAAATTTATGATTAATATTAGACTTCAATGAACTAACAATTACACTTACCACACCAACGGTAGTCCAAAATCCTAATGAATCCACAAGAGCGATAGCTTCGTCTACATTGGGATCATTTTTAGGTGAGTATGATAGGCTGTTGTTGATCCTAGTGTAAAATACACCTTTTAAATCTTTAATGTAAACATTAAACAATTTGATAAGTTCCTATTAATAAATAATATTAAAAGAAAAACTACTAAATAGACAACTAATTTGTTTTTGTTTAAAACTCTATAATATTGTGTATCTATAATAAAATTATATATATATATATATATTGTGTATCTCCCGACCGAAGCTGTTACCTTGACGCGGTGGTCGGGCTTGCCTATCGTGATGACCCAACCGAGCTGTATTGGCTGGAACATATGTTCCTGTAGGTTCTACCATGCCAGGCAGGTCGATTGAAGAACAGTAAGACTAAAAGCAGCAACTCAAGGTCTGAGGGCGTAGTCGTACTGCTGACTGTAGAGGGGTGTGACAGCAGTAAGGTGTTTCCCTCGGACAACCAGCATGCCTTCTCACAAGGAAGGAAAATGTTAGAAAAGGTCGACCCTAAAAATGTCACACCTCATGTTACCTCACGGATTTCCGTCTCCGGTGGTATGGCCCTTTGAAGAACGGAGCTAACACATTAAAAACCTTCCACGAAGAGGCCGTGCGCGATCGGCCTCAAGCAGTTGTCCCTTAAGCTCTGCGGTCACACCCCCAGGTCTTTAAGAACACTAATCCAATTTCCTTTTCAGGTTCCTCAAGAAATACCCTTCCACGGTGTGGGCAGCCAGGAAGTGACACCAGCCCTCATACCCGTAACAGCACATGAGACCAAGTTGGTCACATTCAAATCCTTCCTACACCTCCTAATACCTCTCTTATCTCCCCGACTAACCCTCCTCACGTCTCTTTATCACCTCGCACCGCTATGGCAAACGATTCGAGTACGCTGGCTGCTATTCTTGGTCTCCTGAAACCACGCTCTAAACTACACGTAGGAGCTTTTAACGTACGAACACTTGCCAAATAGGACAGCAGGCTTCCTTAGCTAAAACTTTAGAATCTCGCGCCATCGATGTGTGCTGCGTCTCCGAAACGCGCATACAGGATCCAAGTAGCGTCATTCATTTGACCTCACCATGCCAAAATAAAGAACCGACTCGATTCACACTTCGTGTATCTGAAAGCCCTGATTCTGCTTCCCATGGCCTCGCCGGCGTAGGTATAGCATTGAGTCCTAGGGCAGAACTATCTTCTTAGAGTGGATCCCAGTAGACAGTCGTTTGTGCGCTGTCCGACTGAACGGAACAGTAAGAATCCGAAAAGATAGGGACACTCGTCGTTGCCTCTTCGTCGTCTCTGCCTATTCTCCCACTGACTGCAGCGCAGATGATGTAAAAGATTAGTTTTACAGAAAGCTCTCCGACCTCCTAAAAGCTAGGCGCTCGGATGTAGTAATAATGGCCTGTGACTTTAATGCTCAAGTAGGTAAACTAAGCGATAGGGAAAGACACCTGGGTGGATCTTATGGTGTCGTGGCTCAAAGAACAGATAATGGCGACCGTCTGTTGCAGCTATGCTTAGATAACCGCCTGTTCCTTGCAAATACTAACTTTAAGCATAAGGAAAAACATCTTTTAACGTGGCGACCCCCTAATTCGTCCCAACGTTGGACCCAAATAGATCACATCGCTATCAGCCACCGATGGAGGGGCTCGATAGAAGACTGTCGCTCATTCTGGAGCACATGCTTAGATTCAGATCATGCTCTAGTACGAGCGCGTATCTGTCTGCGTCTTACTGGACGTAGGAAAGACGCTGCAAGGAAACCTCTTAGGGGCTTACTTAATGATAGTCAAGCTAAGAGTATATTTCAGGAACAACTAGGAAAACAGTTAGGCAGCCATGTATGTGATGCCCACCCCGATGCAGCATGGAATGATATCCGAAAAGCTGTGGAAACAGCAGTGATATCTGCTAGTAAGGTAAACCAGAAGGTTAGGGAGCAACACTGATCTCAGCAGCATCTATCTCACTGATAGATGCTCGGAAACTCATTCCACCTGGCTCTGAACATAATGAAGAGCGGAGTCAGCTTAAACGCAAGCTGACAAGAAGTCTACGCAATGATCGTGAACAGTGGTGGGTAGCGAAAGCAAGAGAGATGGAAAAGGCAGCGGCAATAGGTAATAGCAGACAATTGTTCAGACTTGTAAGGAAACCGGTATTAGGAAACCGACTGTTAGCGAAACACTCTCAGAGAAAGATGGACATATTATACATTCTCAATCCAGGAGATTGGATCGATGGGCAGAACACTTTAGGGATCAGTTCAACTGGCCTTCAGCCACACTGCGGTTTCCCACGATCTCCAGTCAACCTGAATGGCAAGTTAGTGTAGGTCCTCCAACTCTTTACGAAGTTGAAAAAGCTATAGGAAATCTCAAGCGAGGGAGAGCAGCAGGCCCTGACAGGTTTACTCCTGAGATTTTTAAGAATGGTGGTCCAGTATTAGCAGTGAGATTAACTGAGGTTTTAGGTAGGATTTGGGAACTGGACGTAATCCAATCTGACTGGTCTCAATCACTGATTCTGCCAATCTATAATAAAGGACAGGAGTCCTCTTGTGACAGTCACAGAGGAATCAGTTTGACTAATATAGTGTCTAAGACATTAGCATCACTAACACTTCGACGCCTGACCAAAGCTTGTGGAGAGCAGACTAGAGAAAACCAGGCTGGTTTTCAACCTGGACGTGGTTGTATAGACCAGATATTCACACTACGTCAGGTTCTAGAACATAGATACACATTCAGACGCCCAACAATGGTAGTATTTCTCAACCTTAAGGCGGCATTCGACTCTGTTGATCGTGAGGTTCTATGGCAGTGTTTGTCAGTGAAAGGAGTACCAAAGAAGTACATCAACCTTATAAAGGCTCTCTACTCGAACACAACTGGTTGAGTGAGAGCTTGTGGCGAACTGTCATCAGAATTGGTTACCTTAATTGGTGTTCGTCAGGTCTGCCCACTCTTTCTATTCTTGTTTAACTTTGTCATTGACATGCTTTTATAGATGACACTTTCCTCATCTAAATTTCCAGGGGTTGAACTTCTACCAGGAGATTCACTTGTTGACTTGGAATATGCCGATGACATAGTTCTATTTGGTGAAGACGCTGACAGAGTCTTATGAACACTCTAGGCAACAATGCACGCATGTTCGGGATGCGATTCTCCCCCTCGAAATGCAAAATGTTGCTTTAGGATTGGGTTGCATTGACACCCGAGCTAATGATAGGGAGTGAAGTAATTGAGCATGTCGATCACTTCACTTATTTCGGAAGTCTCATCAGCCCTTGCGGTCTGGTGTGTGACGAAATCTCAGCACGGATACAGAAGGCTCGACTACCTTTTACCAACTTGCGTCATTTATGGCGTAGGCGAGATATCCGTTTACCAACCAAAGGACGTGTTTACTGCACAGCAGTTCGTTCCGTCCTACTTTATGGCAGTGAAACATGGCCGGTAAGAGTAGAGGATATTCGTAGGTTAATAGTATTTGATCATAGGTGTCTTCGAAACATTGCTCGTATATCCTGGGACCACCGAGTAAGTAATACAGTTGTTAGGAAACGGGTACTAGGTAAGGATTGCAAATCAATTGAAGTAATGAAATTTCATCAGTTGAGATGGCTGAGACACGTGTTACGTATGCCCAACGAGCGACTGCCTCGACGTGCGATGTTCAGTGGTATAGGAGTAGGATGGAAGAAAGCCAGGGGCGGCCAGACCAAAACATGGCACAAGTCCATGAAGTCACTGACAAGTGGACTAAGTCATGTCGGTAAGTGTAGACTACCTGGTTGGGGACCGCGAGATGATAGCAACCGATGGTCAGATACCCTGAATGACATGGCTCAAAATCGTTTGCAATGGCGCACGTGCATACAATCTTTGTGTTCTCCCAAATTTTGATCTCCTTATCCTTCCCCTGTCTCTTTTTTTTCTCTTCCCAAATTTATTTCGCTGTATTATACTCTTTAAATAACATCTCCAAACACTAATTTCCTGATTACTGCTTATACTCTTATTACCTCTACCACTACGGAATTTGAATCGACCACTGCATCTCTGTGCTAACGTGGTGTGGCAACTCGAACTGATGCACGAACGTACGAAGTTCTACGTTGTTACTGACTGACTGACTGATATTGTGTATCTTAAGTCTCCTTTCATAACTAAACCCAGAATCTTTAGATCACTATTACATATGCATCACTGTTTGCTTACCTAAAAGAAATGTTTGATGCTTAGTAGTATTTTACAGATTCAGATGATCTATGGAATAGTTTTGGTACTTAACAAGTAAAATTATCATGTCTTTTCCAGTGAGTTTATTAAATCCATAATTACTAAATGTGCTATCAACTTGGCTGGAGTTGTGAGGTGTGACATTTCTAGGACCAACCTTTCTTACCTCTTCTTTTCGTTGTGAGGAGGCAGAATCGCTGCAGATGCTATTGGTTGTCTGAGGGGACCAACTTACTAGTCACACCTGTTGGGGACGATAGATCCCCAAAACTCAAATTTTGTAATTTACTTATCAAATAAATGCGCAAATAGGTCAATTAATGAACTCATTGATTAATGTTTAAAAATTTCTATGACAATATCGATTGTAAATAATTGTATAAATACGCTTGACTTGTATGCTTGATCTGATCTGCCTGCCTGACTTGTTATCTGCTGTTGCTTGTAGAATATACTTTCTACGCCTTACCAAGACTTCTTGATCGAGTTAGCTGAGTCGAAGACAACGGACCAGAATAGTCTATCGAGTCGTTGAATCATTGATCCTTCGTTCCGTTTCGAGTAAGACGCATCAGTAATCGCATTCAAGCAATAACGAAACATAACAAATTGGCGACGGTGGTTTTTCGATTATGGACCCTACCAAACTTGAACTGTTACTTGAGCAGCAGCTAAAATTGATGCAAATGTTAATGGAGACCAAGGTTACGCCTCCCTTACAGCCAAGCACGTCTAGTTCAACCACGGCACCATCAGTAGATGGCATCGCAAATAGCATAGCTGAATTTCATTACGATCCTGATTCTAATGTTACTTTTGAATTGTGGTTCAGGCGTTATGAAGATCTATTTAAATTTGATTTCGCCAATCAAGATGATGCTTGGAAAGTGCGGCTGCTACTTCGTAAACTGGGTGCAAATGAGCTGGACAAGTATTGCAATCTGATCTTGCCGTTGAACCCACGTGACCGATCATTTGCAGACACAGTTCAAACATTAATCCAACATTTTGGCGATAACTCGTCACTGTTTAATACTCGTTATCGTTGCTTGAAGCTAACTATGAACGAAGATGATGATTTTCTTACGCATGTGGGCGTCGTCAACCGTGAATGCGAACGCTTCCGGTTAAAGTCCTTGACTGAAGATCAGTTTAAAGCCCTGATCCTTATTTGCAGCCTACAGCACCAAAAGTTCAGTGACTTACGAACAAGGCTACTAAGTCGTTTGGATCAAGAACCGAAACTCACCCTGAGTGATATAGCTAATGAATATCAACGTCTCATTAATCTTCAACGAGACACTTCTATGGTCCAGAGTGGTGGTTCTAGCCGATTTGAAGTACGAGCGGTGCAACAGACACCTCACAAAAACAAACACGTCCCCGCTTCATCCAGTCCATCTCACTCCAGCTCTAGACGACAGACTAAAGCAACTCCTCCTGCTCCTTGCTGGCAATGTGGTGCATGGCACTACGTTCGAAACTGCCCATTTAAACAACATCGATGCAAGAAGTGTAAGGTTATCGGTCATAAGGATGGGTTTTGTCTGACGAAGAAGACTCCAAGTCAATCAAGAAATACCAAAAAGACCTGTCCTAGATCCCGCACCAGTTCATTGAGCTTAGTATCTTCGTGTCAAAGCTCATCACCGTGTCAGAGAAAATTTATTACTGTTAACATTAATGGGCATTCATTTAGATTACAAATAGACACTGCATCTGATGTAACAATTCTCTCACGAAAATATTGGATCAGAATGGGAAGACCACGCATAGTTCCAACAACACAAAAACCTCGAACTGTATGCGGTAATTACCTACGTTTGTTGGGACAACTAGATTGTAAAGTGTCTTTTCACGATTCAACGTTTACCGGTGTATGTTACATCACACCAGCTGATCTTAATCTACTTGGGTTAGACTGGTTTGACCAGCTACATTTAGCTGACGTTCCTTTAAGCACCGTATGCCATCTGGTGAAACAACCTCATGAACCTGAAACATATTCGAAAGAACTACTGACGGAGTTTTCAACCAGCGAACACCATACGGCCGGCGAAGATACAGTTATCGCCTCCCTGATGACAAAGGACTACGCGCAGTGCTACCTGACAACTACTATTCGTGCTTTGCCAGTCTCAGCAGCTGAAATACAATCTGCATCCAATAACGACTCCATCATAAAGAGAGCGATGAAATACGTCACAAATGGCTGGCCGCCGACTGGACTCGATGGTGACTTGAAACAGCTTTACCATCGTCGGGACTCATTATGCGTCGTAAACGAATGCTTGATGATCCATTATCTACAAATAAGATTCCAAATAAATTTGGTCACAGCATTTCAGAAGAATTAAACTTCGAACACCTCATATCAAGTGTTGTCCAGTCTCAAGACTTAATCACTTTCAGTCAATTCTCTGTTCAGTGCGATAAATATGTCTTAAATAAATTCAAGTTAATTATAACGTGGGCATATGAGGATCCAACACTGTTTCGTGGGGGAGGATGGACCTGGAAAACTTAAAATCCGGATATCAACTCCGGATCTTCTAAAAAGGGGAGGAGTGTTGGGGACGATAGATCCCCAAACTCATATTTTGTAATTTACTTATCAACTAAATGCGCAAATAGGTCAATTAATGAACTCATTGATTAATGTTTAAAAATTTTCTATCGATTGTAAATAATTGTATAAATACGCTTGACTTGTATGCTTGATCTGATCTGCCTGCCTGACTTGGTATCTGCTGTTGCTTGTAGAATACACTTTCTACGCCTTACCAAGACTTCTTGATCGAGTTAGCTGAGTCGAAGACAACGGACCAGAATAGTCTATTGAGTCTCTGAATCCTGAGCCTTCGTTCCGTTCCGAATAAGTCGAATCAGTAGTATCCTCAAGGTTAACGAACCTAACAACACCCCTGTACATGCTAAGTTATAATGTAACTAACCGGAAACATTTGTGATGGAAAGTCAATATTTAGAGAAAACCTTGGATGTCATGGAATTTAGAGTAATAGAAATTTGTTGCAATATTTTATACTTTTGTGCTGAGGATTCTTTGTACTGAATAAACAGTAGTGAATAATGAATACATAATTCTGTCAGCTTTTATATCGATTTAACTTGTTTGGTACCATGTTGCAACGGATTCGAAATACAACGCCAGTTTCTAGTGTCGAATTTTCTTGATTTTACATGTTATTGCCGATTCTGGTCATTATTAAGTGTATTAAGTACATCCTATGGGCTCACTAAGTTTTTGGCTCTTGTTTTTTTTTAATAGTTTCCTTACTTTTCAGAGTTTATACACGCTGTTTTTAATGCTTCTACAGTACAAAACGTAACTTCAGATGACACACGAATCGCTATACATGTGACTGAAGTGCATCCTAACAGTCTGAAACTATAAACTTCTGGTACTGATATTTTTGGTGAGACCATAATTTATGGACGACCTTTGAGCGACGCCAGATTGACCTTGAGAGTGTCCACTTAATAAGCAAGACCAAATGGGGGTTATAAAGCTGTGTGGGGAATTAGAATTTACAGTTGATGATTAAGGTTAGGAATTAGATTTCGGGTTTTCATCACGAACTGACATCAGCTATATTGTCAAAACTCTGTTTATCCGAACGGATAAATGAATTTCGCGCCAAAATCCGAGACCTGTTACCTTATATCTGACTGGTCCATTCATAAATTATAGTCTCGCTGATATTTTTTCCTTAAAAACGAGGAAAGAAAAAGGAAGCTCCGTATTTAGTTCATATTTTAAACTGGATTCATTCAGAGTATTTTACGGATGAACCGAAAAAGCTAAGCATAATTAACCGGTAACTTCAGATCACCGAGATCGGTTAGGAAGAACTAGGCTGATATTAAAAGATTTGGGAAGTGGAACAAGCATTGGAAAGGTAGACCTGCAATTAACAATGTAGGCTGCTATTTACTACCAAAAAATATTCACTTATGTAGGAAAGAACAAAACTCAAAAAAGAATGAGTGAAATGTATATATACAAAGTAGAGGAAAAAGTCAAATATTGAGTGAGTGTTGCTCATGACAACAGAACCGTAGTGTTTGACCTAAGGAATAACTATCAACCGAATATTCTGTCATAGGCAATTGGGGTAAATCAGCTTGTAGATCACTGATTCTCCAGTTAATTAAGACCTGACCAGGAGACTTAATTTTTGAGAATCTGATCGCATAGACAGATTAAGCTGTCAAAAATCCGATTTGTAGATGACAGAAATAACTGGAGACATCAGTAGCCTTAAGCCCCATGCCTACTTAGATGAGCCAGTTAGATGGTTACAGAGCTTGAGTATGGAGAATAATTCTGGAAGCAGTACATCAACACAGAAGAGAATGGTGATATCTACCAGCACACTATCAACAGAACAACTTAACCAAAAAAAGAATCTCGCTAAAGAAGTGTTAACCAGAGTAAAGTGACTAATCAATTTAAACTGCTTGAGGGGTTGCAGGGTCTTATGTGTTATGTCCCGATAAGCATAATGAGTGGTAACTTTGAGATCCATTTATGGACCAATACCATGCGTATATTTTTATCGTATAATTGTTATGTAACTAAACTATACATATTCATGTCCCTCTTATTATGAGCCTCATTTTGACCTATGAACTATTATTATACGATTTACCATTCTTGGTCGGCTATTAATAGACCTTTCGATTGACTTTCTCCCAAAAAATGCATAGCCCTCAGCAGAGACCATGAAAAATGAATTACATGATAACTAATCTCGAAAAGTGTAGGGACATAATCTTTTTGAAAGCTGGTATTTCCGTTTACTACGTTTATGTAAGTCGAAAGTCCTGTCCACTAGCAATTCCTTTAATAGTATACCAAGAGTATGAGAGAAAATTCAGCTTATTTTCTGATTTATTACTATTCATATAGTGTTAGTTATAGGACTTGTTTGACGAGCATATCAGTGTATGATATAATTCCCGTCTATATGAAAAATCATCATGAAGAACTAACAACGTGACTTTAAAGACCACTTTAGTCGCTGAGATTTCTTAATATTAACAAAATTTTGTTGATCTAGCTTGACAACAGTACTGAATAACATAGGTTCTAATCTTAGTGGACGACATAAAGTTTCCTGAATGTTCTAACATAAAAACTCAAATACGAAACCGGAGTCGGTCTCGCTGAATTAGTGTTTACAAATATCGAATACAACTAAATGGAACCAAAAAAAATCAAAATTTAAACAAAGAAACAACATGCAACTTACGTGGTTGAATAATCACAACATTATGCCCATTTTCAGGTAGTAAGTATGATTTCTTCAGCAACTCATCGTACACTTTATTTGAATCCACATCTACTAAATTTGAACCTAGATAATGAACATGATTAACAACAGAATAAGTTGTAATCCCATAAAATATCATTATGAACGACGGCTAACACATAACATTATAAGCTTTTAAGAAATTAATGAACTGAATCATTTATTGAATAGTGTAATTGAATAATAGGTTTAGAAAAGACGTAGTCATGAGCAAAGTTAACGTTGTAGAACTGTAGAAAAAACACGGATGGTCGTCGAGTGTATATATTACAATGAAGCTAAGACAGTTGTAAGAAAACTTCAAGACATTAATGACTTAAAAATCCCTACAGAATATTTAAAAACAAAGAGCATTAGTGCGAACGATTGTTTTCGGTAACTTCTCCATCAGGCTCTGCAATTATATGCCCAAAGCTTTCATTTTCGTGTTACGACAGGCAAAATATTAAAGCTGAATTAACATATGTTACAAAGCGAAAATGGAAAACTTCACGCCAATTGAGTCATAAATAGTAAAAATTACTGACAAAACGTCATTGGTAATGTCAAGAAAATGTCATACATAAAGGATGAGAAGAATCAAGTCCTGATTAAGGTGATGAGTTGTAATCAATAATATAAAATCGTATGCAAAATAGTTAGCACGATATCGGGAGCGTTATGTTATAGTTGTGTGGTGTTTGTATGAACTAACAATTCCTTTGTACTTGTTGAATGCTTGATTTCGAATTCCAAATACAGTACATTCGTTCGTGCTTATCTCAGTCAGTCAGTCAGTAACAACGTAGAACTTCGTACGTTCGTGCATCAGTTCGAGTTGCCACACCACGTTAGCACAGAGATGCAGTGGTCGATTCAAATTCCGTAGTGGTAGAGGTAATAAGAGTATAAGCAGTAATCAGGAAATTAGTGTTTGGAGATGTTATTTAAAGAGTATAATACAGCGAAATAAATTTGGGAAGAGAAAAAAAAGAGACAGGGAGGAATAAGGAGATCAAAATTTGGGAGAACACAAAGATTGTATGCACGTGCGCCACTGCAAACGATTTTGAGCCATGTCATTCAGGGTATCTGACCATCGGTTGCTATCATCTCGCGGTCCCCAACCAGGTAGTCTACACTTACCGACATGACTTAGTCCACTTGTCAGTGACTTCATGGACTTGTGCCATGTTTTGGTCTGGCCGCCCCTGGCTTTCTTCCATCCTACTCCTATACCACTGAACATCGCACGTCGAGGCAGTCGCTCGTTGGGCATACGTAACACGTGTCTCAGCCATCTCAACTGATGAAATTTCATTACTTCAATTGATTTGCAATCCTTACCTAGTACCCGTTTCCTAACAACTGTATTACTTACTCGGTGGTCCCAGGATATACGAGCAATGTTTCGAAGACACCTATGATCAAATACTATTAACCTACGAATATCCTCTACTCTTACCGGCCATGTTTCACTGTTTCGTGTTTATCTAGTCCTTCTTGATCCGATTGCGTTATTTCTGGGAATCCTAGCTTGTACTATAATTCAAATACTACTAATTATCATAAGTTCTGTGATAATAGTAATAATAATGACGTAATGGCAATAGTAATAATAACAGTAATAACATCATTAACCATAACTATTGATGAAAGTATAGTCTAATAACTCATTCTAGCTGAGTTTACAGCAGAGAAAAAACACTTTGCCACAGCAGTGTTTCAATATTTTGTAAATGTCATGCTAGGAAAAATCAAGTAATGGTAACACGTTAATTAATAGTTTGAAGTAACAAAGTGCATTTCCTGAACTACTTGCTTACGAAATAATTAAAAGACAGCACCCTTTATTATGAAAAAATTTAACACAATAAGGCAGTAAATCATCGTCCTCAGAAACGGACGAAGAAAATGCTATCGGCTTGTTAGCCTAAGAAATTGCGGGAAAACTTTTTGCAACTGCAAGAATATGTATCGAGCACACACAAAAATAATTTGAAAGCCACCTGGGTTTTTAAAAGCAGTTTTTTGTGAAGACTACAAAAAGTAGGTAACGAGGGACAAAGGGATCATGGCAGAATGTATATAATCATCCAGATGGAAAATGTTAACACAGTGGATACGTGATATAAGAAACGCACCATACAGAAAAACACAAAAAATGAAGAATGAAACAACGGTATGCAACAAACAATACAGTCGCAGTAAGACATCCCATTTAGTAGTTTGTATCTTGATCTTGGTGACGAATGAAAGACTGGAGAATTGTTAGCGGATTTTAATTTGAATCATGTCCAGTGATATTTCAAACCACTAAACTGCACGATCTCTAGGACCTAATTTAGGAAAATATAAAGAAATGTTAGGTGAAAACCTGACACATTTATCACCCAAACTCCAAGCAGTCACCTTTTGTTGTACGGAGGTAAATCGCGTCTCATACACCACCTTCACCAGTCTCATTTCAGGCACATAAACATCTTGGCTCCTCTTGATGGCTCGTCACAATGTGTTAGAGCAAGGCTTTGCCATTCTTGCAAAGATATAACCTATGGACGACTTCTGAGTGACGTTAAACTAACTTTGAGAGTGTCCACCGAATGAGGGTTATAAACTAGTGTTAGCAGGTAGAATTATGGTTTAGAGTTGATGGTTAATGTTAGGGCTTAGGTCTAGGGTCATCATCATGGACTGATATCGGCTACAATGCCAAAACTCTATTTAGCCAGATGGGTGAGTGAACTTCGCTCCAAAATATGAGACCTGTTATCTTATACCTGATTGTTTCGTCCATAAATTATAATATCACCGAAAATTACTTAAGTAATTTAAATAAATCCTTTATGCATTACTTACATCTTCTGTCAAGAGAGTATCGAAATAAACGCCCAACATTTCGAAACATTTTATTAAACACCAGGTGATTATTAGTAGAACTAAAATTTACATAATTTTTGTAGTCAATGTGACTATGACTATGACATTGATGACCCACAGGAAGCCAACCAATTTTAAAATAGCGCCTTCTGTCTCAGTTTCAGTTTCAGTTTGAAAAGGATAGGAGACTAGGTGGCCTGTGATAGTCCTGGTAATGGTGGTCCCTCAGTTGACGGGTGGAGCCTCAACCACGTGTTGAGTTAATGAATTCCACTCGTTGATGATTCGAAGGGAAAGTCCATAGTCAGCTGACAAGTAATTTGTTCTAGGCTTGTGAACATATTTGGAGTGTCCTCGTAAATTCTCTGTTTTGGAAGACAAGAAAAATGAGGGCATATAGGTGCGAATTCGGCACTAAGAAATTCGAAAAATGCAATCAAGTCGCCTCTAGTTCTGCGATATGTCAACGGGGTGTAGCGGTAAATAAATCCCCAAAATAAATAGCACTAAGTTTTCGACATTGGATGCTGACCATATGTTTTAGTGGACTCACCTAGCTGAAGGCGCTCGGTCAGTCATCCGCACCAGATCACGTGTGGTAACGCCGTGCTCAACATCAACCGCAATCGCTAGCCAGATTAGATCAGAGAATTCCGATATATTGGTCATCGCCAAATATACTCTTCCGATCTCCTCGACTCTGTCTTTTGATTTCTCTGGGCGGGAACGAAATATATTAGGTGTTACTGGTAGAAGCGTTGTCAAACACTGAATACCTGTGACATCATCAGCCTTATTTTTTTAACTTTTTTAAACATTGTGATTTTTTTTTCGTGTTTTTTCCTGGATATATATATTTTCCCCTTGTTCATTATCGTACTTCATACTTCATCATGACTGAACAGACACCTAAAGTACTCAAGCTTAAGACTTTGTCCCCGCCTTCGTTTCAACTGATGCCTTTCTGGCCCGACAACATCGAAGCCTGGTTTTGCTACGCAGAAGCCGACTTCTCCGAGCACGACGTGATCGACACACGTGCACAATTCCTCGCAGTAGTCAAGGCACTACCGCGCGAATTCAACAGGTACGTAACACCTAGTATGTTTACTAGTGATGTTTCCGATCCTTACGAAATCTTAAAACGCTCGATTCTTAAACGAGGAGACCTAACCGATCGACAAAGGTTAGATCAACTCTTCAACAATATCGACCTGCAACATGGTTCTGCGACAGACATGTTGCAACGGATGAGAGAGGTAATAGGCCCAAGAACTTTCGACGAAGGCCTATTCAAACAACTCTTCTTGTCAAAACTTCCCCAACAGGTGCAAGCAGTTCTGGTCTCGTTCCAGAACAATGCCTTAGACGAGCTAGCTGCATCTGCCGACCGCATATTAGAAATTACGAAATCTACTACCGAGGTATTTTCAGTCAAAGAAAAACCTCAAACGACTCAGAATGATATAAACGACTTATGTCACATACTCACGCGTTATCCTAGTCTTCGTACCGACCGTAAGAGATCGCGCACACCACGTAGAAGCATTTCTCGTAAGCGATCTGTCTCTAGACCACGAGAGACAGATAACCCCGACTGGTGCTGGTATCATAACCAGTATGGAAAGCTTTCCAGAAATTGCAGAAAACCCTGCAATTTTCCCAACACGAAACCGACTGATTCGAAAAGCGATTCGGGAAACTTCCAAGCCGGCACGCGTTAACGGCAACCGTAGCCGGCGAACAAAGCCGTCTGTTATTCGTCATGGATGTGACAACGAGAGTTCGTTACCTCGTCGACACTGGCGCAGAAGTTAGCGTTCTCCCAGCAAATCCTAACGACCGACTACACGAATCGACCCTAAACTTACAGGCGGCAAACGGAAAACCGATCGCTACGTATGGCAAAAGGTACGTTTACCTTAACGTGGGTTTACGCAAACCCATCCACTGGATTTTCGTTATTGCAGATGTTTCTATGCCAATCATTGGTATGGACCTTCTACAACACCACAATCTGATCATCGACACGCGCAAACGGAGGCTAGTAGACGGAAACACTAATTTGTCCGTTTGCGTAACTTCTTTTACTGGTTGTAGAGTATCCCCAGTCACAGTTAAACATATGATAGACCCACTCTATCAACCACTACTCGATAAGTACCCTGGGATACAACAAACTCAACCGAAACTACCGTGTGTAACCAGCAATGTTACACATCACATCACGACTACAGGACCACCTGTATTCTCTAAAGCACGACGACTAGCTCCTGAAAAGCTAAGGTTAGCGAAAAACGAATTCGATCACATGATGGACTTAGGAATCATACGACCGTCAAGTAGCCCATATGCATCTCCGTTGCACATGGTCCCTAAAAAGGACAGCAACGATTGGCGTCCAACTGGTGACTATCGGCGATTGAACGCGAAAACCATTCCCGATCGTTACCCGTTGCCTCACATTCACGATTTGACAGCTACCTTGAAAGGTACAACTGTCTTTTCGAAAATCGACTTGGTTAAAGCGTATAACCAAATCCCTATGGCTACTGACGACATACCGAAAACAGCTATCATAACTCCTTTCGGACTCTATGAATTTTTGCGAATGCCTTTCGGTCTAAGGAATGCTGCTCAAACATTCCAAAGATTCATAGACGACGTTTTTCGAGGTCTCAACTTCGTACACGCGTATGTTGACGACTGTCTAATCGCAAGTCCGGACAGAGAAACACATCTCAAGCATCTGGATCTTGTTTTCGAACGACTTCAAAAACATGGCATAACTGTAAACGTTCAGAAATGCCAATTCGGAACCGACTCGTTAGACTTCCTAGGACACACTATCGATGCTCAAGGCATTCGACCTCTTAGGACCAAAGTGGCGGCCATTCTGGATTACCCAGAACCGACCACCGTCAAGCAATTACGCACGTTTAACGGCCTGGTAAGTTTCTATAGACGTTTCATACCGAAATGCGCATTACTTATGAAACCTCTGACCGACCAACTTCGTGGAAATGCGAAATCCATTAATTTGGACGACACGGCACGAAAAGCATTCTCCACAGTTAAGGAACTGATTGCTAAAGCAACGATGCTCGCACATCAGGACACCCGAGCACCCATTAGCATCGCAGTAGACGCATCCGACTCGGCAATCGGAGGAGTCTTACAACAATGGGTTAACAACTCCTGGCAACCCTTGACATTTTTCTCAAGAAGGTTGCTAGACACCGAATCGAGGTACAGCACATTCGGTAGGGAACTCCTAGCTATGTATTGTGCTGTACGGCATTTCCAACACTAGATCGAAGGTCGTGAATTCACTCTTTTCACGGACCATAAACCGCTCACTTTCTCGTTAAGCTCTCCTTCAGACAAGTACTCTCCACGTGAGTCTCGACAACTGGACTACATTTCGCAGTTTACTTCAGATATTCAACACATCTCTGGAGCAAACAATGTAGTTGCAGACGCTTTATCTCGCATAACTTCCTTGAACAGTTTCCAAGGAATCGACCTTCTTAAACTCGCCGAGCTTCAAAAAGAAGACAGTGATCTTCAGCACGAGTTATCGTCCACAACACTTAAACTACGCATCAAACAGATGGGAACAGGTAAGGAAACCTTACTTTGTGACACATCTACAGGTAGGGATCGCCCAATCGTGCCGAAACATTATCGACGCAATGTCTTCAACACATTGCACAAACTTTCGCATCCAGGTGTTCGTGCAACCATCAAGCTTATAGCAGAAAGGTTTTGCTGGCCTGGAATGAATAAAGACGTGAGGGAGTGGGCACGCTCCTGTGTAAGCTGCCAAAAATCTAAGGTTATCAGACACAATAAATGTCCCTTAGGCTCGTTTAAAACTCCCGATGCTCGTTTCGACCATGTTCATCTGGATTTGGTAGGACCTTTACCAGATGCAAATGGATACTCTTATCTCTTAACCTGCGTAGACCGTTTCACTCGATGGCCAGAAGCAGTACCTATCAAGGACATCACTGCTGAAACAGTGGCTCGCACCTTCGTCGAACGATGGGTAGCAAACTTCGGCTGCCCTTCAACCATTACTACAGACCGCGGACGTCAGTTTGAATCCGATCTTTTCCGTCGTCTGACCACGCTTTTAGGAATCACTCGCTTCCGAACGACCGCCTACCATCCACAAGCAAACGGGTTGGTAGAACGTTTTCACCGACAACTGAAAGCTTCGCTATCAGCTACAAACGTTTCACAGTGGACCGACGCTCTTCCACTCGTCTTACTAGGTATCCGCAATGCAGTGAAAGCTGACATTGGATACACTGCGTCTCAACTCGTTTATGGTACGACACTTCGACTTCCAGGAGAATTCGTGGATCCTTCATCCTCTTCAATGAACATGGATCTAACCTCCTACACGAACAGGCTTACAAACGCAATGCGTTCAGTTAAACCTGCTTCCACTCGACCTCAATCAACTGATGTTTTCGTTCAACCTGACTTACGATATAGTACACACGTTTTCGTTCGTCGAGACTCGCATCGACGACCCTTCGAATCAGCATACGAAGGACCCTTCAAAGTTCTTCAACGTGAATCTAAGTACTATATAGTCGATAAGAACGGAACCAACGATAGCATCAGTATCGATCGCTTAAAAGCAGCGTATTTAGAAGGAAATCCTATCTACGTGGATTTTCCTTCGGTACAATCGAACGACACGACTCCGACACTTATAATACCTCATCCGACAACCAACACACACGATGATACTTCGACAGTATCCGAAAATAAACTTAAAACGACGCGTTCTGGAAGAAGGGTGAGATTTCCAGAACATCTAAACGACTATTGCACGTAAGGCACTTCTCGACATTTTATATTATTTTTTTAAAAAAAAACAATTTTAATATGCTTATATATTTTTATTTCTATTTAAAAAAAACAAAACAAAAAAACAATTTTTTTAACGCTATTACGTGTTCATGAGTTTATTTTCCATTTTTTTTTCCGCCGACATTGTGCTTTTACGCA